AGGTTTATTAAACAAAAGATTAAATATTAAAATGTAAACATTACATATTTTTTATAAATAAAATTTTGAAATAAGGAAATAAGAAACCTATTAATTATAATTTCTATAATATTTATTACATTTAATACTTTACCTGTATAAAATAGAAGTATTATATGGTTTTTTAATTTAAAATTTGAAAAACCTAGAAATTGACATTTTGATATTATTTATTTCAAAAATATAATAAAATGACAAGTGTCAAAACTCATGAGTAATTGACACATGGCAAAATGAATCTTCATTTATTAATAGATTATAACCCGCGTTAAACGCGGAAGAACACATAAAAAAACATACAAATGTGTACAGTTAATACATAATAATTATAAATAAAAATAATGATTATTAGTATTATTGAAGTGTGTGAAATATACATGAAATCGATAAATATCTATAATTGTTAAAGAGCTTCTTTGTAGGCAACATTCTATGTTAAAACGAATTGGATGCATTAATTGGTTAAAAGGAAATTATTAAATTCTTCAATACATATATTAGAAAATATTAATATCATAAAACAAAATAAAACATAACTTGACGATTAAAGCTATAAATTAAAAAAAGAAAACAAAGTATTCAATCATAAAGTAATATAAAATATTAAAATCTTCATCAGAAAAACGACGGTTTATTATTGAAGTAGCCGATATGTAGGATATGGTTATGCTTCATTAATGTGTATATTTTAAAACAATAAAAAGACATGAATGTTTCAAGTAAAAACATGTTTTTGCCATGCAAAATATGTGCACCAAATTTATGACAATTTATATACTCTATTAAAAATCAGGTTAATACCATGGTACTTTATTCTTTTACTTTTACACTTTAGATATGTTATAAGAATCAGGTAACATGTACCGCTCGTTTTCAGTTCCAAAATTAAAAGAACCGGTGTAACCAATATCGTTTGAAAACCTGTAACACCTGTAAAAATTTGAACAATTTTTCACTTTTTTTAACCCATAAAATATCATTTGAAAACATACACAAATCATTATATCAACATTGTATCAATACAAAACCCAAGATCAAAATATATATATATATATATATATATATATATATATAAACTCCGATATGCGTGTGTACGAATCATGCCGGCACCTTCTCGCGATCATCGCTGGTACCTGAAACACATAACACATAACACTGTAAGCATAAATGCTTAGTGAGTTCCCCAAAATACCACTCTAACACATAATAGCCACTCGAGGCTGTAACTCTGTTGACCCTCAGGTCTATGTGTCTCAGTGGGGCCCTCCAGCCCCAACTCTATGGACCCGAAAGTCCTAACTCTGTGGACCCGAAAGTCCTAACTCTGTAACTCTGAATCATACATAGCACATATAACAATAAATCATAGCACATAAATAACATGCAATTACACTGGCATATAACTCTAAAATACTCTATTACATAACTCTGTTACCACACTAGGTAAAGTAAAGTGAGAAGACTCACCTCAGACGTCTCCGTAAATCTCTGACTCAGTAGGAATATTGCCTAGTCTTCGCCTATTCACATAAAGTAAATACTCCTATAAATATAATTCTCAAGACTAGACTCAGCCTGCCTTTGGCACCCTCAGGAGGGAAAAAGGTTATTTTACCCCCTCTCGACACAAGTACTCCATTGACCAAACCCTAAAAGTCAACGATCACACTTTGACCCTACTCGCCGAGTGCACCCTGGTGACTCGGCGAGTTCACACATGTTCTTTAACACTTTGTCCCGCTTGGCACACCGAGTCCCTCCCTATGCTTGACAAGTCATACTAGGCATGAATCGTGGGGCCACCACGACTCAACTCGCCGAGTCTCAAGAACAACTCGGCGAGTACCGCCTTGAACTCCAGTCCTCTAACTCCCTTCTGACTCACTGAGTCATCCCCCAACTCAGCAAGTCTACTCACTGAGCAATTTACGTGAAACCCTAACCCTACTCGCCGAGTCTCAGGAACAACTCGGCGAGTTCATGCCATGCACAAACTCTACTGGCCTCCTGAGGTCAGATCTATTTCCCTAAATCAAAGATCTGGCCTTCCCAAGCATGAATGTCACGTAAAGCTCGAAACTTGATGCTTGTATAACAACAACAAGGCATCAAAAGGAGATTTAGTCCCAAAAATGGCAACCTAAGTCCAATAACCCCAAACTGATCCATAAAGCTCCAAGGGTTAAGGTCTCTGGACCTCTTTGAGTCCAGATCCAAGGAACAAACTCGAAGAGGGACCATTTGCTCCACATAATCACTCTCCAAAGGGGTTAGAAAACCCTAACTCTAATGATCAACACCAAAAACTGAAGGAGGTTCGAACTATTACCTCAAAATGAAGTCTTTGAATCCCTGGAACTGCTAGAATCGCACCTCCCCTCTTGCTCTTGCACCTTCTTCTTGCTAAACCAAAGATACAAGGATCAAAAGTGACTTCTTCTTCTTCACAACGATTTGGCTCGCTTAGGGTTCTCTCAAAGGATTGGTAGCCGCAACGAGAGGCTATAAGTGCCCTTAAATAGGCTCCAAACCCGGGGATTTAGGGTTTCATTAAACAGCGTGGCTCGCCGAGTCCACTCATGGACTCACTGAGTCCAAAGCGAATCTGGATGAATAATCACGACCCTACTCGGTGAGTCTACGCATCAACTCGGCGAGTTCCTTCTCATAATTCAAAATAATTAAATAAAATAATATACCTGGAATTCCGGCTGTTACACACGACTACATTTTTCCTATAGAAAAGAATAGCAAAAAACATCAGTCCTTGACATCGACATTCATGCCCCATCAATACTTGATTCAAAACTTACCCCCATCTCCTATTTCTTGCATTCAGTGAGTCTCACTGCCACAACCATGAACTTTTGACGATCCTCGAACCAAACCAAAACTTATACCAAGCTAACTCATGAAGTTTGTAAAAAAAAGGTAAGAGCTATCAACTTGTAGAAATCTAAAAGCAACACCAAACTAAAAACTTTATTAAGCATCCTCGAAGAAAGTAATATTATGTGTTGACCAAGACCATCAATTCTTACTATTTTTCCCATACCATTTTTCCTTATTCCAATACAAAGGATTATTTCTAAAGCTCATAGTACAACTCATTCAACCCTATAAAACGAAAGAAATAAAACAACCAAATTTGTTTGTATCTATTCTAGCCGCTGTCAAAATTCAAATCAAACACGTGTATCCTTTATTTTTTAATAAATCAATTTCAATTTTTCCATTTGGTAAGTCTTTTACATCCTGTTTATACTTTTAGAACTTCCCTATCACGAAAACTCATGCGTTTATCTATTTACTAGGTGTGAGACCCGTATATTATACGGGTTGATTTAAAAAATGATTAAACTTAAAGTATAAAAAAAAAATTAATGTACAATTTTAAAATAAGAAAGAAAGAAACATATTTATTACAATTTAATATCATATATATGATATTTAATACTTTATATATATATATATATATATATATATATATATATATATATATATATATATATATATATAAGTATATGACTTTAATTAAAAATTAAACAAACCAAAAATTGACAAGTGGATAATATTTATTTCAAAATTACCACAAAATGACAAGTGTCAAAACTAATGAGAGATTGACAAGTGACAAAAAAACTTTCATTTATTAAGGAAGATTTTTTATTAAGCTTATTCCCAAAGTACCCTCTAGCAAAAGCGTTCTTATCCATCTTCCTCATGTACTTTAATATATTTGCCATTTACTCAAATTAAATGTCATTGTACTTTGCTTGCAATCCCATAAAACAACATAAGACTATTAGCACTAATTAAGTTTATAGCCAAAAGAGCAACAACCTTAATACAATCAACAGTAGAGAAAACCTTGAGCAGAAGATTGAGACAAACCCAATGTAAATATGCAAATATAAAGAAAGCACTTGCACACACAAACTACTAAACACAGAAAAGAATAGCACTCACCAATTAGTGATATGATTTGATAAAGATAGTAATTTATCTATAGAGCGGGTGATAATGGAAATAATGATCACATTTACAAAGAGATCCTTCCAATCTTCTATTAGTGTAATTTCAACAATTTCTGGTGCAAATATAGAAACAAAAAAGACAAAAGTGTATATACTTTTAGTTTACCCCCAAAACTCCCATTTTGTCAGATATGAAAACCAAACCTCTTTTGAAAAATTGTATTTATAGTAACAAAAATCAATCCATAAATATATGTTACAAGATGGATAATTAAATAGACTTTCATTTACACCCTTAAAATCAAACAACCATACACCTTATTTAGTTATTATCTAGATTAAGCAAACAGTCAGACATCGAATTATCTAAATCACCATGGTTACAACTGACAATAAATAGACTCTCACAATGTTCCTTCTATTGTATTGTCAAATTGAAAACTTTATCATGGTATCAATCTTTTATTAGGAATAAAAAAACTTGATGAAAATCTAGCATATTAAAAACATAACGGTCTGACATTTCACCCACACTTCTTGTGCACATAATTAGCCACAATGTACTGGTGTTGTTGATACCTGATGAGCCCTTGATGAACCAAATCTCTTGAAACAATTTCTTCCTCCTTGTAAAACAACTTATGTTGAACAATGTTCAAAATCAAACCTTGTTGGTGAAAATTGTTATCAAACCAACGAACAAATCAATGTATCCATATACTAGAGTAAATTTTCAAAAGATTATGGAAAGAAAAAGTACTCAATTTAAAAGCCTCCACAAAAGCTTATTTGCCTTTCTTCAACTTATTTGACCCAAAAGCTCATGAATTAAGAACATAAACATACCTCTTTTACATGAACTACATGCTTTCCTTGGCAAGTAAACATACGAATGTTGTGTTCTTCAAGTTCAACATGCTTGGAAATAGAAGCAATTCTACATTCTTGAGGTATGATGCATGTTTTAAAGTAAGAAAGGAACCTTTATGTTTGATGTCCTTGTACTTCACGATACTGAACAACACGTCCTCTAAGAGATGCATCAAGTTCAACTATCTTCAGAGCTGTTGTTCTAGCTTCTTCATGGGACAAAAATTCAATTTTGGAAAAGAGATGTGAACTTAGATAGTGAATAACTACATAACATATAAAATAAAATTATGAAAAGAATAATTTTCAAGTGAAAACACACCTGACTTGTATCTTTACCAAGCCAATAATGGATGTCGCTACGTAAAGCACCACTTTTCAATGCAATCGTCTATAAAAGAAATGCAATACACAGGAATTAGTCAATAAAGATAAACCTTTCAAATGATTTAATATGTTGCTTCCATAATAAATAAAAGACAAATTTCCAACAAGAGCGTTCAAGAAGGCCATTAGGCATCCATGATTGGAAACCAAACATAAATTGTCTCAAAATCGTACAAAAATTGCAAAAAGAAATCAAGAATATGTTCATAAATGATAGCCATTGAGCTTTGAGGGGTGATCCTGAAACCTTGCAGGGATTGCATTTCAGTTGAAGATTGATTATTATCATCAAACTCAACAAATGCAATTCCTAATTTTGCATCAATCATTCTGATTTCTTTAAAACCAAGGAACTGTTTGAACAGAAGCTGCAACATGTCCTCTGTTGTATCATGTGTTAGATTTTGTACAAACATAATATTGTTAGGTGGTGGTGTTTCTTCTGTGTTTGATCTGCCATTTCGATATCAAACTTGCAAAAAAAAAAAAAAAAAAAAAAAAAAGTCAACAAAATTACCATCCTACCCATGAGAATAACAAAGTTACTACACAGTTTGGTTACAAAAAAACTTACATCAGGGGCGCCATTGGTGTCACTTCTTGCACCATTAGTAATAGCTTGTGGAGCATCTCACTTCTTTTCTTCTTCTCATCTGACGTCAATCTGCATTAGGTGGCTTAAGCAATCCATTTTCTAAAGATGTTACATGTAAGATAAATATTGATTCTTCAATTGATCAATGATAGAGTTGCAATGGGCCAAAAACCTCAATTTCTTATTTTCTTTTGTCGATTGAGTAATCAGAACTCTATCTTCGTAATCGTCTTCAAGCACCTACATATAACAAATGTATAATAAGTTCTCGTGTTTGAGAGAGAAGATGATTAGAATCAACTGATAACATTGTTGGTTAAGATTAATCATGGTGAAAAGCAATCAGAATGAAAAGATGATTAACAATATAGAACCTTAATCAATAGACGATGTAATGGCATAATAGCTGACCTTAAGGAAGCGATTCTGAAAGGATTTCAATCAAATATGTTGCGATCATCCTCATCGACTTATCAAAAAATGCTAATTAAGTAGCTGATTTATCGATTTCAACATGGAAAGTGTAAATTATAAACAGACGTTTTGTAATCAATCGAATTTGGAACGCGTTCAATCAATAGTGAATTTTTTGTTAAGATGACATCATCAGAAATATGCAGAACGATCCAAGTGTTGAAATCAATCAAGGAAACTCAATGAATGGTCATGATTGTTGAAGATGACATCATCAAGTTTATGTTTTAATATATATATATAAAGATAGCTAATTTCATTTCAATATTATACCTTATTTTCTTTTTAACGTATATGGATTGATGTAAAACACTAAAACTTATGGTTATGTGTTATTTTAATGTATTTGGATTCATCTACAACTTATTTTTATATATATTTTTAATGTTTAAAAATCGGTTGAACCGAGAACCGGTCACCATATCGGTTCTTTTAAAAAACCGGTTTTTAAAACATTGGTAATTTGACTCATTGTAAAGATGTCAACAACTTGCTTTATGAAATTGACTTATAAAGGTAATTAATTTTTCGGTTTGTTCACATCTGTGTAACTATTTTTTTTTATACACATCTAGGTAACGAACTTTTTGAAAATATTCGCATATGATCATTATGACCGACTGTAGCAGGTTGCATCCGGTCACGATGGTCACATGTGAACACTTCCAAAAAGTTTGTTACCTAGATGTATACAAAAAAATAGTTACCCAAATGTGAACAAACTTAAAAGTTAATTACCATGATCAGTCAATTTCTTTTGTTTTTTATTTTACTTTCTAATTTTGATTTGGTATAAAATTTAACGTAAATGGTAAATACTTTTAAAGTCATACCATTTTGGTAAATATCTTTTTAAACTACACGACTTTGTGTAAAAACACACACACACATACTCTAGATTTCACATGGAAAAAAACACATCGTCGTTTTATAGAAATTTATTGTTTAAGATATTAAATATAAAAATTTAAATTTACTAGAGATTAAAAGTATCAGAAATGGGAACCAATAATACAAATAAAATAAAATAAAATAAAAAAACACACAATGTTTGATGAGTTAAAGCTTACAACGTTGTTAATAGAATTTCAAGTTTTGATTTGCATTTCAAATTATGGTTTTCAATTGATCAGGTTCTCCAATTTTTCTTTCTGGTATTAATTTTATTTTCCTACAAGAATTGTGATACATTGGGTTGTGGTGGTGGAAATTTCGATTGAGAGACGGTGGGTTGTGGTGTTTGTTCGTTGGAGTTGAAGGACCTAAAAAAGAAGGGATGGTAAAGACGTTGATGTCACTAAAGATGGAAAGGAAATAAACGCTTTATATAAGAGATATTGACCGATCATAGCCTATTACATGTAACATGATAACTGTTACAATAGCCGACATAATGATATTGTATTTATGCCAATAATGCACAAGAATCTAAATGAAACTGCTGACATCAGAAGATATCTTGAGTATAACAACATGACTGCCACGATTTTAAATAACGTAAGGCATGACTTGGTGGCAATGTCAAACCTCAACTTTTTCAAGTCGTGGTGAGCCACGTCGTTTGTAAGGCGTGACTTAAGGTGACAATTTTGTATATAATTCATAATTCTATACATATTTTCTACTATTATTCATTTTTATATACATATATGACTTAAGGTGATATTTTGTTAAAGCTTGGCGGCAAGTACAAGCTTTGGAGCTATGACGAGCTTTTTAGAACCTTGATTACTGCTGACAAAGGTTTGGAAAACCATGTAATACGACAAGTATCAAGTGTAACATGAGACTCAGTTGCGGACATTAGTGGAGCCCAGGGGATCCCGAGCCACTGCTAATTTACATTTTTTGGAAAAAAAAATTTGGGTGCCACCCCTACTAAAACATTATGCATGTAACGACCCAAAATTTAAGACCAAAAATTTCTTTTAATAAACCATTTCTTAAAGTAAAGTCATCATTCCAAAACATAATATGAGTATAAGTTTTCAAAACACATATTCATTATCAGAGTAAACATTCCCAGGCTGTCTAATCTATGGAGTGTTGCATGCGATCACCCCGAGCTCTTCCCTCCGCTACCGGAAGTACCTGAAACCAAAACCGAAAACTGTAAGCACGAAGCTTAGTGAGTTCCCCAACCTACCACATACCACGTATAACCACATATTCCACATACTGGGCCATGCCCGCTACCTTGGGCCTCGCCCCTACCTCGGGCCTCGCCCGCTACAACAGCCCCGCCTGGCTTCGAGCCCCACTCGGATACAGATCTGTTTTACTTAGGCCTTGCCTGTCACAGGGCCTCGCCCGTCAACAAATAATAACACATAAACATTTCACAACACATAACTAACACATACAACTAGTTCTGTCCTAAGGCCTCGCCTTTCCTGGGCCTCGCCCATGTCCTGCTACTGATGAGTCATGGGACCCCATCCACGCTCCTAATGGTAGTGAGGTACGCGCCCAGCCCACTCTCACTTCTGTTCTAGTTTGGGACTCGCCCCTATTCTGCTACTAATGAGATATAGAACCCCATCCACACTCTACTATTGGTGAGATACGGGACCTCGCCCACACTCACCTCCCTACCAGGCACATACATGTATCACACAGACAACAAGTATAACTATCATATAAACAATTCCTTGGGTACCCGCCCGCTATTACTGGACCTTGTCCTGAAAATAATACTAGCAAACTGTGCCTAGGGCTAACCCCCGGGTCTTCTACCCATAACTACATGGGTCGGCATTGTGGCCTTAGACTCATTCACACAAAGGGAAACTCACCTGCACTGGCTGAACTTGCTGATGATCTCACTAGTTGCTGCCCGACAACTCACGGAACTCCTGCTCCCCTTGCTCCCCGAACTACCAATATCAATACAACACTGAGTCCAACTGACCCCCGGAAGACAACCAAGTCCACCCTGGTCCAAGGTCAAAGTCCTGGTCAAAGTCAACCTTCCAGGTCAACCCTACTCGCCGAGTCACCCTACTGACTCGCCGAGTTCATAATGTTCAGATTCCTTCCATTCACGATTCGACTCATCGAGTCAGTCCATGACTCGCCGAGTCTACCGATTTCTGAGTCCCGACCTGTCCAACTCACTGAGCCTTCACCCGACTCATTGATTCGAGTCTCAACTTGAAGGGTTTGGGGTTTCGTGACCTGACTCGCCGAGTCCAAGAACAGACTCGCCGAGTACAAGGCAATATTCATACGACTCGACGAGTTGTTCATCCCACTCGTCGAGTTTCTCCACAACTTCATGCTACTCGCCGAGTCCACCCATAGGACTCTCCGAGTCCCTTCAGTTCTCCTTACATGCAGAGGACTTTTGAGTCATGCATGGACTCCAAGCTGTAGATCTACCCTTCCCAAGCCTATTCCACACATAAAGTTGAAAACTTTACGTGTAGAGAATGAGATCTAGGAAAAATATGCCATAAACTAGGGTTTAAGGCCAAGGGGCTTCAAAATCGACTTAATGGCTGATACTTTATGCTTCTCCAGACCATAACACACTTGCATCTAAAGTAGCAACTCCAGATCCGGCTTCTAACCCATAAGGGTGGCTAATCATGGCTTAAAAGCCCCAAAACTCACAACCAAGATTTGATCTAAGGGAAGGAAATGACTTAATACCTTCAATACTTCAGAAAGGTTCCACAAACTCCAGATCTGAAGCAAATACTCAAAGCTTTACTTATTTCCCTCCTTCTTCTTCCTTTAAATTACCCAAAAATGGCTTGGAAGCTTGAATGTACAACAATGGAGGCTTAAGCTTCGTTTTCTGAACAAGGGAGGCAATAAGGAACCATAATGGAGAGAATAAGAAGCTTAAATAGCGCCCAAAGTCTCGGATTTAGGGTTTTCCTCGCACAGACCAGACTCGCCGAGTCCACTTGGCCGACTCGCCGAGTTTGCCACTTACACCTTGACCCGGATCCCGCTCGGACTCGCCGAGTCCCTCCTTGGACTCGCCGAGTCTACCCTTAAAATTAGGGCTTTTCTTTCCTTTCTTGGCCTTCAAAACTTTGGGTGTTACAACTCTCCCCCACTTAAACTAAACTTCATCCTCAAAGTTTACTATACTCTACTGCCTGCGATCTGCCTCCAATACCCCACCATCCATTCTAACACCAGCTGCCTAGCTTTGCTGGCCTTCCGTTCAGTCATTCGGACTAACGCCAATCCTTACCGATAATAATCTAGGGTGCATCCCGACCCTGAACATCCTGGAAACACAACTTACTCGACCGACAATCTTTATGATATTCTTCGAGTACTGCAACATAGGGGTTCACCTCTTCTTTCCTTGTGCGATTTCCTTGCCTTCCCGAGGCAACGCTTCATAACCATTTATCTCCTCTGCCACTGTGAGGACCCTATCTTCACCCAGTCTATTACTTCCGCTACTCTGTATGGGTCATCATTGCCAGTATCCACTTGGCATTCTTTCTACTATCATTCAGTGTCGAGCAACCCACGATCGACTAACTGAATCCTACCATACTCTGCATCCCCGCACCAGTACTGACTAGAAATTATGCTATTCCTTATCTGGCTTCCGGATGAACTGAGACCATCCTAGTCCCTACCAACCTATCAATATCTGGATTACCGGCTCTCACCGATTGCTGACCCAACACAACCACTAGTCGCTCCCAACGACATTCGAAGAAACTCCCGCCACCTATACTTCTCAATCTATTCTACCAGGCTGGCACTACAATATTTTGGGATCCCCGACCCCCCCACCTATCTAGACACTAAGATCCTTACCAGGTCCCACCTGCACTGCTAAAACTCACGGGCCTCGCCCACGGGTCTCACCCAACCATACTACTGAGCAACCCTGCTCTCAGGTCTCACCTATACTGCTATCCTCGTACGGGCCTCACCCACGGATCTCACCCGACTATATCCTAGAGCGGCCTCTCCCAAGGTCTCACCTCTCAATGGCTATACAGGCAACTCCATACCATTCTCATCCATTCCCCATTCCTGATCCCTATCTGAATGCTAGGAGATAAGGGCCTCGCCCCGACTCCACCAACGAAGCTACTACAAAATGCTACGGCTACCGCGTAGTCCGACAACACTTCCACCACTGACTGCTAGTGAATGCTACAGTCGCCCCATAGTCTTACATCACTTTCCACCACTGACTGCTAACACAAAAACATCTCCTGCTATTTGACCTCAAGATCTCCATTCCGACTCACATGAGTCCTACATGCGGCCCTTTAACCTGAATCCGAACCACATACCCACCATTACCCTTTACACGCACGCACTGATGGGAAGTTCTCAAACTCCCAACCCTAAACTACTCAATCCGTCAAACACTGAACTACCTCCTTTCCTTCTCAGAAATCATATACCCGATCTGGATTTGCGTGCCCTTACCCTTATACACTCGGAGGATTCTCCCCCACTTTGATCCTGCTTACACCTCGATGCTCGATGAAGAGAAATCCCAATCCTTGCTACCATAATCAATCCGCTAAGGAATCCCAAGCTTACCATAGCTAAGGGTCTAACCTGACCATTCTAAAACTTATACGGCTCTGAACTAGCGAGACATACCGAGTCTCTCCAAGGCATGCTAAATATTGCACTCTAAGTAACCTTCTTCGATACAACCCATCCCTTAATTACTAACCAATATCCAAGGTATGCAGATGGCATATAAGTCGATCATAATCAATCCGCTCAAAAATAAAATACTCATATAGATAATGATGCAGAACCATAACAATATAATCATGCACAAAATAAAAGAACTGAAAATGGAAGTCGCATACCTGCAACGTCCGACGCTGCTCGCGTCTCCAAAGTAGCCATCTGAAGAGCCCTGCCTCCAACTGTAGGCGCCTCCACATGACCCTGACGGCCATCTGTGATCCTCAAAGTTGCAGGGGCAGGTGCCATCACCCGTCCTGCTGGAAGCAAACTGGGGCACTGGGCCTTCTTGTGGCCCCACTGATTGCAGTGAAAACATATCAAGTTTGATCCATGGGTGATGGTAACAGTACAATCTCTGCTAAAATGACCAGTCCGACCGCACCTGAAACAGCCAGACTCACCACCACTACCACTCCTACACGCGCCCCCGTGCGTCCTGCCACACCTTCCGCATCGACTGCGGTCCTGGTAATCCCTCGATCTCGACCCCGATCCCTTGGGCCTTTTGCCCGAACTTGCGGCTACGTGAACCTCATCCGGCTTCCTCTTTCGGATCTGCTCTAAATCAATTTCTCTCTCCCTAGCCCGAGAAATCATATCCTCCAGAGTCTTACAACCGGACCTGCTCACGAACTCCCTGATGTCATCCCTCAGCATCTCATGATATCGTGCATTCTTCATCTCCTCATCCGTGACATACTGCGGAACAAGAAGGGCTCTCTCCCTGAACTTAGCGGTGACCTCCGCCACAGTCTCAGTAGTCTGCGTCAAATCCTGAAACTCCCGAGCCAACTGCTGCACCTCAATAATCGGCGAAAACTCCGCTCTGAACCTAGCTGAGAAATCACTCCAAGTCATCGCATCCAACGCGACATCATCACCCAAAGCATGACCAATCTCCTCCCACCAATCCCTCGCTCTGTCCTTCAGAAGACAGGAGGCGAGTCTGACCTTGTCCTCCTCAGGACACCGGCTCGTACGGAATGCGTTGGCAACATCAGCCAACCATCTGTTGCTAGCGATGGGGTCCCTAGCCCCATGATAATTTGGTGCATCGCAAGCCCTGAACTCCCGGAATGTCAAGGTATGTGCTCCCAACAAGGC